TTCCGTTGCCTTGGGGCAATTGATGAATAATCGCCAGTCTCTCCCTCATTAATTTATTTATTTAGAGCAGCTCGCTCTTCGATGGCTATTTCTCGCATCAATTAGTCCTGCTCAGTGTGGAATGTCGGAGACCTCGCAAGTCTAACGACTTTTCACAACCTGCGAAACCTGCACTAAAGCAACACCATCGAATGCCCGAGTATAAATAAATTCTATTAACATAGAGAGATGATTCATCTCTTTTATCATTCATTACGTCAACAACCATCACATAATTCAAAAATTGGGAGCATTTTCATTACTTGTACTATAGCTGTAAGAATAAAGCAAATGTACTTTTCTCTATCAAACTAAACTACTCGTTCTTCTTTTATCTTTTCGTTAATCTTACAACCCTTTCATGGACGAGGCACTACCATCGTACACCATAAACAAAACATTTCAGGCTAACAAACATAATACAATAACTTGTCAAAATAACATTTCTTTCTGATCTAACAACATATATTCTACATCTTAAAGGCACAAGGACTGAACTGACGTGACTCTTGCTTTTTGCTCCGCCATTGCTCTTCTCTTTCCTTTATTCATATTGCTCCTCCGCCGCTCCGTCCTCTCGCCGACTCGGTCCTCTGCGCGACCTCCGTCCTCTGCCGACTCCAGTTCTCGGCCGATTCGGGTACCTCCGCCGACTCCGCGCCTCTCGCCCGACCTGTCCTATCCGCGACTCCGTACTCTCGCAGCTGCCGTCGCTCGCGACCGTCGCTCTCGCAGCTCCGTACTCTCGCGCTCCGTCTCTCGCCGACATCCGTCCTCTGGCGACTCCGTGCCTCTCGCCGACTCCGTCCTCTGCCGACTCGTCTCTCGCGACTCGTCTCTCGCCGCTCGATCTTTCGCCGCTCCGGTCCTGCTCCCGGGCGGACCCTCCCTGCAGACAACTGTCGCTATCTGTCTCTCTCACGCTCTACCCTGCTCACTGTCCTCTCTTTTAATTCTCTGTTCCTCCTCGGTCCTCCCTGTGTGCCTTTTTCTCTTCCTCGCCGCTCGAGGCGTGTGGTGGTGCTACGGCTGCGCAGGGACTCGGGCGGGCGCCTGCTGGGTGGACGGCGTGCTGCACGGCTGTGGCGTCGTAATCGACCTGGCCCGGGACAAGGGCTGGAGCCCAACGACACTCGCCGGCGACGGGGCGCGTGGGCGTCGTACATGCGCGTAGCTCAGTACCCCCGCGTGCAGTCGCGCACCCCACCCCGGCACGCCCCATGACTTCCTCGAAATGTACTCAACTTTAAAGTAATTTTTAATGTATTAAACTGTTTTAAACATGCTTTAAACGTATCTGTTTTCAAACATTTTAACAATAATATCTTTTCATTTTTAAAATGTTAAACCCATATCCATATTTAAGCTATTAATTTTATTACCCCCTACAATAACTTATTGCATTTTAATTTCATATCTAACTTGATTAATTAAATGTCTCTTCACAATTTTAGAGCTGCATCATCATTAGAGGGTATACCCAAATGTTTATGCTTATGTCGTAAGACACACAGGAATAAATTCAATTGAAGTGAGATTATGTATTTCGTGCTTTTTTTGAAGTAATTTAAATTTTTTTTTTTAGTTAATCGAACAGATGATACTATTCGATAATAGGATAAAATGCCCTTTCTACTACCCCCCACCCCTCATGGACAACTTACAAGATTTGTACGTAGCATTAAAAAAAAAAAGGAACCCTCTTCTCATTCTGCGTATATTTTCTGAAAACTAGTTTAAATGTGGATCTTTTCCAGACTCGGTAAATATTAAAATAATTTTTACTTTACCACCGAAATATATTGTATATGTGTCGACAGCGCAAAGGTTGGGAACTTTTTTGTAAATGACTTTTGTAAAATAAAATTTTGCAACGCTATGCGTGAGTTGCAGTACATACTCTTTTTATTTTCATTTCCTCATATTTTTTATGCTCTCGTTCATTATGATGACTTTAACTATTTGATGTCGAATATGCCTCTACTAAATACAACACTAATGTTTTTGAGCATCTTGGAAAGTGGTGAGTGGGCGCTGCCCGCGCCTCGAAGGGTTAAACCCCGCGACCACAACAAGACAGGGGCTGCTATCGAGAGGGTGTCACTCCCGCCGTTATGTCAGCTTGGGAGTCCATTAAGGATCCTAAAATTCCTCGCGGATCTTTCCTGCCAGGAATGTCCGACGCGCGAAGCATACACGGGCACGCGACGGGGCTTGCAGCAATTGGGAACATTGTTTGGGGCGAGAGCGTCGAAGTGAGACAATGCGTGTAGGGCGCGGGCCGATGGACATTTGCGCACAATCTCAGCGGACGGCGCGCTCTTCGCCGCCCCCGGGCCCCGCCCCCTGCGCGCTCGCAAAGCAGCCGGCCGCTCAGGTAAAGAAGCGTCGCATTGACTGCTCGCCCTCGCTGCCTCATAACGCGCCATCATTCAAAAGCCGCCCGCCGTCTCGCCGCTTCGCCTCGCCTCGTTACTCTGCCCGCTCCCGTCCCGACGCTCGCTGTCAACATGTAATTGGGAATTAGTCGTTCGTCACTTGTTAAACACGCCGTCGCTCCTAATTCGCCTCCGCGCCCGCGCGGCGCTGGGGGGCGGCGCGGGGGGGCGCGGCGGGCCGGGCGGGGGGCGCGGGGGGGCGCGGGGGCCGGCGCGCGGGGCGGCGCGGGGGGCGCCGGGGGCGGCGGGGGGCGGCGCGGGCGCGCGGGGGGCGGCGGGGCGGCGCGGGGGCGGCGGCGGGGGCGGCGCGGCGGGCGGCCGCGCGCGGGGCGCGCGGGGCGGGCGGGGGGGCGCCGGGGGCCTGGGCCGGGGGTCGCGCCGGGGGCGGCGCGGGGGCGCGCGGCGGGCGCGGGGGCGGGCGGGGCGGCGACGGGGAGGCGCGGCGGCGGGCAAGGCGTGCTTGGGGCCTCGTCGACCGCCTGGGCAGCCCTTGGGAATCACAGGCGCAGCTTTGGACGAGAGAGCGAAGCGCCGGGCGTGCGTTCCTCGCAACAGCCGCTTCGGATCCATACTTCAGGTGGCATTCTTCCAGTTTAAGCAAGAAGAAGAAATTTAAAATTTAAAATATTGTACGTCTTCAGGTTTACACCACCCCCCCCCCCGCCTTCTCCACAGGAGCCTAATCAGCATACTAACCAACCAGTTAATTCATTCGGAGTCAGGTATCTACTTCACCAACAATCCAATTAAAGAAAATCTTTATATCAATAAGTCCCAGAGTCAGTGGTATAGAGATATGATAATAGTAATTTAAGTGAACATAGTTGTTTTTAATGTATCTTTTCTGGAAGAACCTCTTTTCCCAAGACTACTGTTGGCTCCCTTCCAACATGGAAATAATGTAATTAGTGGCATTCGGGACTCCGAATAATTGAACTGGTTGGTTAGTTATTGTGTGGATGAGGCTCCTGTGAGGGGGGGGAGGATGGGTTGGTGAAACCTTGAAGAGGGTAAATATTTTATTTAAAGTTTATCTTCTTAACTTGAGAATTGCACCATGGAGAGTGATGGTGAGGCGGGCTGTGGGAGGGGGGATGCCCGGGGATTCGCTTTTCTCGTCCAGCGAGCTGCGGCTGTGATTGCCGCAAGGGCTGCGCCAGGGGGCGTACGAGAGCCCCCGAGCGACGAAGCTTGCCCGCCCCGCGCCGCCCCCAGCGCCGCCCGGCGACGGACGAATTAGGAGGCGAGGCTGCTGTTTAACAAGTGATCGGAACAGCTAATTCCCAATTACATTGTGACAAGCGACGCGCGACGGGAAGCGGCAGGAGAGACGAGGCGAGGAAGCGAGGCTGAACGGCTGGGCGGCTTTTGAATGATGCGGCGTGTTGAGGGCACGCGAGGCGAGCAGTCAATGCGAGCCTTCTTTACCTGAGCGGCCGGCTGCTTTGCCGGAGCGGCGAGGGGCGGGGCCCGGGGGCGGGGCTCGGGGGGGGGTTGGGCGGAGAAGGGGCGGGCGCGTCCGGGGATTAGTGGCGCAGATGCATCGCCCGCGCCCGACGGCGATTGTGGTCTGCAAGGTCTCGGCGGCAAACAATGTCCCAAGTGCTGGCAGGCCCTCGGTGCGCGTGTTTGGCTTCCGCGTGTTCGGTCTACAGTTCTCCATGTCCAGAAGAACGGCGAGAATTTCTTAGGGATCCTAATGGACTCAAGCTGACGATAACGCGAGTGACACCCTCGAGTAGCACCCTGTCTTGTGTCGCGGGGGTTTAACCCTTCGACGCGGGCAGCGCCCACTCACCACTTTCCAAGATGCTCAAACATTGATAGTTGTGTTGTATTTAGTAGGCATTATTCGACAGAAATATTAATGTCCATCAATAATGGGAAGAGACATAAAGAAATATGAGGAAATTGAAAATAAAAATGTATTTACTGCAATCACCATACGTTGGCAAAATTTATTTTACAAAGTCATTTACAAAATAACTTCCCAACCTTTGCGCTGTCACACAGATACAATATATTTTCTTGTAAATAAAAATATTTAATATTTTACCGATCTGAAGATCACATTTAAACATTTTCAGAAGAATATACGCAGAATTAGAAATGTCTTCTTTGTTTTAATGCTACGTACAAATCTTGTAAAAGTTTTCATGATGTGTAGAAGGAGTTTTGATGCTATTATCGAATAATGTATTCATCTGTCGATTAAACTAAAAAAAATATTTTTAAAATTACTTCAAAAGACAAATACATAATTCTCACCCAATTAATTTATTCCTGTTGTCTACCGACATAACAAACTCAAACATTTTTATACCCTCTAATGATATGCAGCTCTAATATTTGAAGAGACAATTTAATTAACAATGTAGATATTGAAATAAAATTGAGAATGAAGGGTAATTTAGTGGGTAATAGAAGTAATAGCTTAAAAATGGGGATATGGGTTTACATTTTAAAATTGAAAATTGTTATTTAATATATTTTGAAACAGATACGTTTAATACATGTTTAAACATTTAATACATTCAAATACGTTTTAAAGGTTGAGTGCATTTCGAAAGGTCAGGGGGCGATGCCGGTGTGCCGCTGGATCCAGCGGCGGTAGGAGGCCACGCGCATGTACACGCCCCACCCGCGCCCGTCGCCGCAGTGGTCGTTGGGCTCCAGCGCCTTGTCCGCCAGGTCGATGTACGACGCCACGCCGTGCAGCACGCCGTCCACCAGCAGCGGCCCGCCCGAGTCGCCCTGCGCCACCGTACACCACCACACGCTCAGCGGGCGGAGGAAGGAGAGAGAAAGGCACACAGAGGCCGAGAGAACAGAGAATGTGAAAGAGAGACAGGGACATAGAGCGTGAGAGAGACAGAGATCGACAGTGTCAGCGAGAGGGTCGGCGAGAGGGACGGAGTCGGCGAGAGGGACGGAGTCGGCGAGAGGGACGGAGTCGGCGAGAGGGACGGAGTCGGCGAGAGCAATATGAATAAAAAGGAGGAAGAGCAATTGTAGCGGAGCAAAGAAGCAAAGGTCACCGATCATTCAGGTCCATGTGCCTTTAGAGATGTAAATATATTTGTTTTAGATCAGAGAAAGAAAATGTTAGTTTTTGACAAGTATTGCTATTATGTTTTTGCTTAGCCTGAGAATTTATTTTTAATTTGTAGCTATTTGTAGTCGCTTCTCCATAAAGGGTTGTAAATTAACGAAAGATTGAAAAAAGAACGAGGTATTTAGGTGTTGTAGGAAAATAGTACATTGCTTGTATTCTTACAGCTATATGTACAAGTAATTGAAAATTGCTCCCAATTTTTGGAATGGTGATGTGATGTTGTTGACGTAATTAAGTGATGAAATGATGGAAGTCATCTCTCTCAAGTTAATATATTTATTTAGACTCTGCATTCGATGGTTTTGCTGTTATCAGTTTCGCAGTGTGTGGCAAAAGTCGTTAGACTGTGCAGTCTCCCGACATTTGCCACACTGAGCGAGACTAATGATGACGGAAAAGCCATCGAAAGCCGGCTCTCTAAATAAATAAATTAAGTTGAGGGAGAGGACTTCGATTATTTCATCAATTGCGCCCAAGCAAGGGAACGTGCAATTCTCAATTAACTCTTGCAAATGAAGTTGTTACGGCGACGTAAGGGGACCACTTACCGAGCATACGCCTGATCCTGGCGCGGAACGGATACAAATTGCTTTCGGAGTCTTCTCAGGGCATGGTATTATGTTTACGTCCAGTTTCTGTAGAATCTTGGCATAATCGCCCTGAAATAGTTAAGAAAAATAGTAATTTAATAGAAATAGAAATTCAATAAGTAGAATAAGAATGACACACTTTATTTACGGGATAAAAATGTTTCTAAAATATATTTGTACATTTATCAACAGACTTCCAGAAGCGTTCACAAGATAAGTCATTTTCACTCTCTCACGTTACTACATACTACGTACGTAGCAATAAAGAGAAAGTACTAAAATTGAAAACCGGAAATCGGCGATTTTTCGACAGAAATATCTTATTGACAGACTCTGGTAACAAACAAAGTGGATAAGTCTAGTTCCTGTATGTAGTAAATTGCTTCTTCCAACACGTTGTGTAGCCAGAATCCACGTTTTGTGGGTCTTTGATACCGCAATAGTGACGGAAATATTGACGGCAAAACGTCTGTCCTTACGTCCGTCCATTTCTGGTCAGAGAATATTAATTTTCGAACAAATCTTATTATGGTTTAGGCGCTTCTGTTTTTCTAGATGGACAAACACATGTTCCGACGAACAAACGGAAGGACAGACGAACAAACAGGCAACCTAGGACTTCACGGCAATTTAGGAACATCCGTTGATGCCCTGAGCCACCATCTCCAGCTTGCAGTATTACGAAATGAGAATTAAATATAGTAATACACTTCCCTTTTAACTTGTGTAATGTAGGCTCTATCACAAGTTACTACCTTCATACAGTGTGTGTGAATGTTTGTTTTGTACGTTTTATAGCTGTAGTGTTTGGCCCTGCTTATGTATGGAAATGACAAACACATTCACACATACGTCGATGTATCATGACGCTCATGTTAAAAGGGAAGACTTAGATTCGAGTTCTAAGAGCATTAATTTATTGCGCAGTATCCAAGCAATTTAATAATTTTAAAATGTGTGTACACCTTCTATTTATATTGTGACACTTTTGAGGTAGTTTTATGGAAATTTCTGTGAGTATATTATTATTGGTGTGAACGTATCGGAGAAAACATTTTCTTTGCCAGATGTATTTCCCATTTTATTTATTTAACTGAGTAATTTACTAAACTGTGTAAAATGTTTTATTGAAAAGGAATGTTTGAACTAGACCTTCTAAAACACAATCAACTATCTAACAAACCACACAAGCAACACCCAAGGATGTATTTGAATATTCTGTGTGGTTATTAGGAGAGTGAGCAAACGTTACAGGAAAACGACTGGAACCACTTCCTGTAGGTCAAAGACACGCGGTTTACGTTTTGCGGTTTTGTCCCTTGAAGATTAGCACTTCTCAAATTTCACTTCCAAGGCTTCAAAAGAGAAGAGAGTTGCTGTTATTGAGTCACATTTCTACAATTCTAACCTACAATTCCGTCAAAATATGTGTGTTCTAAAATCCGGCTAAGCAATCGAGATTCAGATCGATTCAATTGAAATATTATCGTTTGTGCGTCATTTTAATCCTGTGATTTCTTATAAGTACAACACGGAAGTTTAGAAAATTTATTTCACTCGCGACGCTGTCTCACGAAATGCTATTGTCGACTCCATTTTAAATCTTTAAATGTTATAGGTGAAGACGGAATTGTAGATTTCGTTCTTCGCACTTGTGTAAACGTCAGACGTGAGGAGAGAACTAGAAGGACATGAGAAGGATATATCAGAGCTTTGTCTTCAAAAGGGATCGGAGGCCTTCACAAACATAGAATGAGATTTCTCGTGAGCAAACGAGTCTGTAAGCATCAATGAAAAAATATCAAAAATCTTCCCTTTTAGAGTTTTAACATTATCTAACACTGGAGCCTGTGCGTCCACAGAAAAACAATACATAACCGTGCCTTCATATTGTCTAGGCTTGCAAATATTTTTCCAGCTTGATAGAGATTGGTGTCAGGACGGCAAAAAGGTAAAATACTGCCAAAAAAGACAGGCAAAAGCACAAATAAGACAAAATGAAAAAAACATAGACGCTAAACGTAACTCCTATTGTCAAACGTAATAAAATTGTAACAACAATAAAAAAGCATTTTGACAAACTTCCGAGCTCTACTAATTAGCTTTTTGAATTACTATTTACTAGTATTTTCGTTCATGCTTTATTCCAAACTTAAAGGTACACATTATAAATTTATTTAATATTTGAATATAACAAATTATATCACGACCTAAGATAGCTTCATATATGTTTGATATTAGGTAACAAGTAATGCATTGTATTATTTGATTTTATGGAACATATTCTGTAATTTGAAATATTCTTATAATTTTTCCCTATATCATGTTGTATTTTTCCACTGTGCGACCTTTGTGCAAAACTACTATTTATTCATCGTACAGAAAAGTGGAAGTGTGTGTATATGTATGTGAATGTTCCAAACTAAATTTAGAAGGCTTGGGGCAATTTCAGTCAAATTTGTTACGCATAAAACAAGCAATTTTCAGGGAATTTCGTGGGGACAACGTATCTCTAGACTCTCAGATTATGTAGAGAGGGTGACATGTATAAATATAATAGTATGAAAAAATGTTAGCCAAGGGCGAAGGCAAAGGAGGAAGGACGAAGGACGTGGGCGAGGGCGAGGGGGGGGTGAGGAGAGTGAGACCACGAGGAAGATGATGAGAGAAACGTCGAGGAAGACAAGAAAGAAGAAGGCGATGGAGACAACGAAGGCAAGGGAACGACGAGGGAAAGAGCGAGAGATGGAGATTAGGAGAGAGAGGACGCGGAAGATGACGAGAGAGACGAGGAAGACGGGGGTGGAGAGGGTGGGAGGGCCGCGCCCGTGCCTCACCTGTTCCGTGAGCCCCCAGCCGATGACGACGCCCCGCCGACTCGCCGGTTTGCCCTTGGCCATCGGCACCGCGGCCATTCGGCGCCCGTCCAGCGGCAGCTCCAGCTGAAGCACGCACAGCCCCCTCACTCAGGCATCAACGTTGCGACTAGAACGCCTTTGGCTCTGATAAACAGCCCGAAATGCTAACATGTTCACATTATGATTGCTTTTCTGAGCGTTTTACGCCAAACGTGACATAGAAATTTATGAATGTGAGTACTTCCGCTGCTCTCTACCAGATGCTGTCAAGACTTCTGCAGCGAGATCTACCATGGAGTTGGTTCCACGACAATGCAAGGATAGGCATAATGGGGCGGGTGGCGCATAGAGGTCATGATTGACGCCCCCGACATCTGTGACAGTGAGCATTGCATATAAGAATACTAGGTGTACCGGGAACTTCGTTCGCGTGGAGACTTGAATTAGTTTAGAGGGGTTAATTCAAAAAGTAGAAATAAAACGATAAAATAATTATTTGTCAATTTTTGACATTATTTTTACAATGTAACCTACTGTAAATCGTATTTATACTCTACGTTTTAGGTTTTACATTCAGGACCTAGGGCCAATTCCTTTGTTGAATTACTCACTTGAGAAGAACACTTGAGAGAACACTACATACACCTGTTACAAACACAACTTTGATATAAATCTACGCCTACTTATAAAAAGTCTGCTCTTATGCTTTATAGATTATCATTAAAAACACAATTTATTGGTAAACTAAAAGCCCTTGAACTGACACTGGTAATTTTGGGGAATAATTGCAATTCTTGCGGAATACATTATTTCATGTAATGGAATGATTCTTAAACAAATTATATTTTTATGTTTTGGTAGGTGTACATTTCTAAGTAATATCAAGGGTACTCCAATAATTTTATGGTTGTACCTTACGCTGAGGCTCATTCATACGAATGTTCAAAAGTTCTAGTAAATGGTAGACTGCCTTTTCTTGGTTACACATTTTATTAATATGTAACGATAATTTATTATGACATACACAAGTTATTGTGATCCCAGAAATTTTTCAAGCATTTTTCCATTATTATAAATTATTTGTTAATGATTCAGCTCCAAAATTGACTTTTTGAACACTTAAGAATCCTCTTTCGGTAAAAACGTTAATTATTAATCTCCGACAATTTCGCAAAGAGCTGTCGGTAAAATAATTACCTTAATACCATTATGTTCAATTTTCCTATCTCCGACATCCTCAAAGAAAAATTGTTGAACTATTATACTTCCGGCAATGGCTCACACGTTTTCTGTTAGATGTAACTATTGGGCATATCTGCAGACCATTGGTATTTTTATGCATGCCACAACTTCATCAGGGCACTCTGTTAACAACTGGTAATGTTCCTATAGAAAATAAACCTGCAATTCGGACGAACGGTCTAGTATGGTGTCTTAAATCTTGTACATTCCGAAATCGTAGGCTTCCGCGGCCGGCGTCAGTATCTTCGTGGCTGCCCGGGAGATGCTGCTTCGTAGGCGCAGGAGACGCCGCGTCCTCGCCGCCAATGTGCGACCTTTCTCAGCCCTGCGTTTTGCCCTTCACATTTCGCCGCAAGGAAGATCGCAGTTTAAAGGCCGAAACGTTGGCGCCTGTGCCTAGGACTCAACGCCTCCCGGCGCTTAGATACTTGTACTCTCCGATTTATAGGATCAATAGAAACATTGTGGGCCATTGCAAATTTGTGCCATACAAAGAAAGCACATGATACAAGTTGTTTGGCTGTTTTCACAAATACCGCTCACGGGATGTTCCATTCAATATGCAGCTAATGGTATTTTAATTTTGTGTGTGCCGTTTTACTACCTAGCGCGAGTCGCTTGATGAAGCGTGTGCGTTTGCAATCTTAGTTTAATTTCTGATTTATTTTTCAAAATTAAATTAATGAGGAATGTTTTGTCTTTATCGCATGGTATAAATAAACCTTTCCAATTGCGTGGTCTCGGACAACGCTTGGATATCCATCATCAACCATCACCTCGCCGTGCATGTAATAATGTATTTTTCTTGTTGTTATCAGCATTTTTCTTCAAAGTTTTGAAAGAATAGGGCACAATACACTGAACTCCGGACAGAAAGTCATTTTTATGTACAGTTTAAAATTTAAAAAAAAATATGTTTTTGAACCACTCGCGTTTTATTTGGTTAGGAGTATTTAAAGTGTTAGTGTGTTATAAGTTACAGCGTTAGTATAATATTTCGTCGCCGTTAGTAGTAAAAGGAGGAAGAACGTGCTGTTGTAGCGCCGCTCGCATTGCATGTGTGCTCTGCACGTATTGCGCAGACGAGCTGCGTACCTCGACTAAGGCGATGTCGTCCGCCGCGTTGTTGTCGTTCCGTCCGTAGAGGCGGTACTTCTCGTGGACGATGCGCCGCTTGGCCAGCAGCTTCCCCGGCCCCCACGCCGAGCCCCGCACGCTGGAGCCCGCACGCACCTCCGTGCGCGCGCTGCCGTTCCTGCGGGCGCCACGCGACTCCTCAGCGCACACACCCTGGCACGCCGCCGCGCCGGCGGGATTTCACTCACCACCCCGGCACGAGCGCGCCTTTGCGCTGCCACGCCTACCACCCGGGGCGAGGGCGCCTTCGCGCTGCCGCGCCCACCCATTGAATTAAGGCTAAATGTACTGATACTGGTTCAGGTCGTCTCCACGAGGTAGAACCAAGCAAACAAAACTTTCTTTACAAATAAGATCGGAACAAATGGTTCGATTTTCAACCAGTAAACGACATTTGACTCGTCTTTAATATAGAATCTGTAGCTGTCGTCCGCTTAAAGGGTGATAAATCTGAAGTCCAATGGTATTTTTTATACTCTGGGAGCTCCTTTTTGCACTTCAGATTCTCCTAATTTGAATGAACGGGAATGAAATGAATAATTACAATTAATGTATGAACATGTGTTTTGAAAGGTTTGTGAACAAATTTTTATTACATAATCTAATAAAACTATTTTATACATAAATAACATTGAGTGCAAAAGCTAGCTTTGATAAATTTGGTACCAATGGTTTAATGAGCTTAAATTTAGATACGTAACCGTTGTGCAGCCTTCAAGGTTGAATCTGCAGCTGATTCCTTTGGTGCCACAACCGTTGACTAGAATCACCGTTGGCTTGATTATGGTCGTCGCCGTCACCACAAATTAAGAAACGTGGAAACCGTGGCGGACAGATATATAGTGAGGTCACAGGTCGTCCGAGACGGAGCGGGGGCAACAGAAAGGCTCCAGACAGCGCGCACAGGCGCTACGTAACGACTACCCGGCCTTCAGCCCAGAGAGAGATACAAGGCGTCCCCTCCGCGAGGAGCCGGCGGTTCAAGTATTCTGCCGAGACGTGAAGCGCAAGCTGCGGTGTAGTGATTTGAGTGACGACGACGCTATAGTGTTATGGACTTATCTCCTGGACATTTCGACCACGGTGTTCGCGATTTGGGACTTCTTCTTGGCTTCTGGTGAGTCAGATTTTCTCTGGAACATCTCACGGCTATTTTGGAAACAGCTGTGTGTCAATGTTACACTTTCGTAAGATTCGACTGTGAATAAAACACCTTTCCCCAAATTGGACTTTTTTTGTTACAACAAAATTTACACTCTCAAGCTCTCCCCCCTCCCCCCGAAAAAATGCCAAAACCCATTTTTCAAATTGATTTTCATAGTTTCCCCCCGAAAATTAAAAATTCTTGGCTTATGGTGCGGTGCTTCCTGAATCCAACGCCGTATCAGTCGTCCAAGTCGGACGGTTAGGTGCGTCAAGTGAATTGTGGCTAAATATGTCCCCCCTCCGCCATGCAGCGCCGCCTGCTCTGGGCGCCTGCAGGACGTGCTCGGAGGCACGCGAGCGGTTGGCAGGCAAGCAGAGGATTCTCTTGGATCGAATGGGATTCGTCAGTTAACGCTTTCGCTATATTCCGCATCTCAATATTAGTCTACTGCATCGGGAAACACCACTTAATAGCCATTCATTACGGGCACTGCCACGACGAAATCAGGCGACCAAGTGGGATCCACTCAGCGGCTCGAAACTCCCAACCCGTCTCTTCACTGCACTCGCACTGGCGCTAACGTCGTGAGTTTTGCTGGAAACTGGAACAACCTTACGGGGAGTTTCCAGAATATCGAACTTCTCTATATGTGTTCGGAACAATGAAACTCCTCCCCCCACCCATCATTCTCCAAGGCGGCGGGTAAAGTCCTAACTGGAGGTTTGCTGGGCGAGCCTGAGTAATCAGGAGCTTAGCACAACCTTCACATGGCGCTAACGACGTGAGTGCCGACGAGAAACGGGGGTCCGGGTGGGCGTTTCCAGTCCCCACTAAGAACCTTTGGCCTCCGCGACCGGAGAATGTAGCCGCCAGGAAGACTTTTTTCTTTTAATAACGGCATCATGCCATTCGAGTGGAACTCTGTCCCAGTGACTACGGTCACAAAATGCTAGGAGCACTCTTAGAAAGTCGCTGTGGAATGTGGTTGCTGTATGATAAGTTTCATGCGTTTGACATTCACGTTACAATAATATCGAGTCATTTACTTGCAGCTGTTAGGCATTGAATATTACGCAATATTTATAATAATTGCGTGTCTGCACAGCTCCTCCCATCAGAACAAACTTAAAGGCCATTTGTACATTTACTGCCAACAAATCAATTCCGTGTACTTGACAAATATTTTGTGTTGCTGATCATACATCTTTGTATCACTAGTAATACATGAAAGGATCCCTGGTTCGCAAACATTCGTCATCCCCATCATCGTGGAATGCTCCTGTTTCTTATTATCAGCAGTTCCGCCACTTACACGCAGTGTGCTGCAGTGAGAATCCATTTCGCGGAGATGATGGTGCCCCCACATGTCCTGTAGAAGCTGTTGCCCCTCCACGGCTCATTAATGAGCGAGATGACAAACACCTGCATGGAAGTAAGACAATATGAATGAATTTCTAATAGGATTGCTAAAAATATGCGAGAGAAATAAAAATTACTCCATTGTCTGTCTGTGTTTCAATAAAGCATTGCTCAAGCGAACTCAGTGGCATTGATAAATACGTCAACTTGTTCATTTAAATGTATCTTTTTTGTACCTAATAAAATTGTATACGGTAAAATATAAAATATAAAACCCTAATTTAGCATAAAATAACTCGTATTATTTTAAGCCAATTCCTTACGGTTATTTAATGTTAAATGTTTCATTTACATTAAATCAGTTACATATAATTTCGTTCATCCAAGAATTAAACGCTAATTTATTTTATTGCTCATTTTATTACTCATTTCTTTATTTTGTAATAATATTTTTTATGATACACTTAAGTTGATAGCAAAAAAAACACAACGAAAAATCATTTTGCATTACTAAAAAACTACCCTGACAACTGCACCTGAGCTTTCTTTTAATGAAAATATGATAAACCCCACACTCTTCCCTATCTTACACGAAAGTGCTGCATTAATTATCACTTATGTTTATTTATTTACACTTTTCCTGTCAATTGTAGTTTCCGATATTTTGCATAATAATACTAATGATAACAAGTAATTGAAGGAATATGAATGTGGTAGAATACCTGCGACGGGAACTCGTGTTCGGCAGCGCCAGTGCCGTCGAAGATGCCCAGCGACACGTGCCTGTCGGGGCCGGCGGCGGCGGCGTAGGCGGCGAGGGCGCAGAGCGCCAGGCAGCGTGCGAGGGCGCGCATGGCGGAGCACGCGAGGCAGTGCCCGCGGCGCGGCGCCTGGCGCTATTTCAACGCGCGTCCGCGGCCTTCGCCGACCACATCCGCCCCCAGCGCAGCGCTTGACCAACCTCCTCGGGAAGCGGCATCCGCAGCACGAGGAAAGGCCTTGAGGAGCTGCGGCCGCCTGCGCTGGCACTGCGCACGTACCCCTCGGGATGTTGATGGAGAGGCGATGCTTACGAATTCGTCGAGGATATTACTGGCCCTGGATATTACTGGATACGAATGGAATACGTGGTAGTTATTACTGGCCCTGCATATTACTGGATAGGAAATGAATACGTGGTGGTTATTACTGGCCGTGGATATTACTGGATAGGAAGTGAATACTTGTACGTTGTGGATATTGCTGGTCCTATATGTTACTGGATAGGAAATGAATACGTGGTAGATATTACTGGCCTTAGATGAAATGGAAATTAATCATATAAAATCAAAGTTGTAACCTTTAGTAGGAAGCGGGAGAAACCATCACTAAAATACACACTTGCAGATCAACTTATGCCTGAGGTCAGTAGCTTCGAGTATTTGGAGGTTGTTATTCGAAGCGATCTGAACTGGTCCGACCACATCAATTACGTTGCTGCAAAGCTTGGAAATTACTCCATTTCGCAATGCGGATATTGAGGAAAGGAAACGCGAACACAAAGCGCTTAGCGTATACTTCCCTTGTACATCCGGTAATGGAATAGAGCTCCGCGTGTTGGAACCCTTATAGGGTTGGGCAGATAAGCTTGTTAGGCCATATCCAAAAGAGAGCGAATCAGTTATAGGAAAAACCAGTGATCAATCTCAGATAAGGGAGCTCCTAGGCAAAGTTCGAAAGATTGCTAGGCTAGTAAATCTTTTGAAAGCGTACACTGGATGTAAGGCGTCAAACGACATACACACTAGGATAGGACACCCCCAATATTTTGGAAAAGGGGATCATCCATACGAAGTTAAATAAAGGTATCAAAAAACTGACGTTTCTAAATTCTCTTTTATCCATTGGACAATAACTGACTGGAACAATCTACGTGCTGCGGTACTTGCGACTTCCCTCTAGTGTGCGTTG